AAGGCTGCTGAGGAAATGGCTCAGCGTCCTTTACGATTCGCGAACAAGGCTGCTGTGAAACTCAAGCCGTTGCGCCAAGAACTACGCAGCATGCAAACGTTGGTTCATTCATCGATGCTCGAGTGGGTCGTCCACACCGATCCAACTGTTAGGCGGAAAGCAACGATTGAACATGAACTTGAAACTCCCCTTTCACGACGTGATTTGGCGCGTGGCTCTGGCAGGAAAATACCCACAGCAGCAGACGCGGGTAACAGGGTCCACTGCATAGTTTTGCAAGCACCAGCAAGAGCAGCGAGTGTGTGTGCGCGTGTGTGCGTTTGAAGAAAGAACAAATAGAACCGATCTTGAGCTTGAAAGCACGTGCAAGAGAGTAACCTGGAGGTGCTATGACCTTTGCAGACGCATCCAATTCGATTCCAACGAACTATTAACATGTTTTAAAGCCTCGGCAGATAAAGAACTGGGCGATCCGGCCGTTAGATTTCAGCTTCCGAGGGGCCATTTAAAATAAGACGCCACAAGCATATGAGATGGGCACACCATGCCCACCTCACCTCAGGAGGCCATTGCGGCGGACAAGACCTCGCCCGGATTTGGAATCGGGCCGCCCGTCTGATTGCGAAGTCAGTAAATACGTGCGCAATAAAGTTGTTTCGCCATCGATGTGCCAAACCGCGGACCAAATCTACTCAGCACGGGGCCACACAAAAGACACTCAAAGACAAGCCAATGCCAGCCAAGAATGCCAAAAACGACAACGATAACGGCAATACAAAATCCATGACAAAATTCGACGATGGCAAATGGCACAAACGTCAAATAAATGACAAAACAATTCTGGAACCCCCAATCTTTGCTGCAGAAATTCCTACAACAGTAGGACGATGGCGACGACGACGAGGGGGACGAGGACGACTTTCATGAAATTCACCATCATCACCACCACAAGCATCCGCAAGCATCACCAAAGACACGATGAACTCAGCGACGCGGGAAGACAATAATGCCTTTACCACCCACGACAACCAGCGCCGCCGCCACCGCCACCACC